TTTGTGATTTGGCCCCATGGAAAAGAAAACCTAAACAATTTCCTAACGCACCTAAACAGCACAAACCCCAAAATCAAGTTCACCATGGAAACAGAAACAAACAAACACTACCATTCCTAGATGTACTAATCTACAAAAAAAACAGATGGCACACTAGGACACAACATATACCAGAAGAAAACACACACTAACCGCTACCTCAACGCCCAATCCCACCACCACCCAGCACAGATAAACTCTGTGGCTAAAACACTAATTACTAGAAGCAAACGCCTGGCAGACAAGTCACACATTAAGACGGAACTATGCACCCTGACTAAGGTACTGACAGCCAACGACTTCCACAAAAGCAAAATCACTGGCTTGATCCACAAAAACACACTGAGACATAATAGAGACCCAGAAGATGAACAGACCTATGGAACAGCTGTCCTGCCCTACATAAGAAGTACTACAGACAAAATTAGTAAGATACTGCACAGACATCACATCAAGACTGCCTTCAAAACAGACAGAAAAATAGCAGCCATCCTTAGAAACCCCAAAGATAAAATTGACCTGGAAAACAAAGGCATATACGAAGTCCCCTGTGCATCATGCCCGGCCACATACATTGGACAGACCAATAGAAGAATAAGTACCCGCCTGGATGAACACAAAAATGCAGTCAAAAAGCTGGAACACACTTCCTCACTAGTCCAACACATGGAAGCCACAGGTTATAGCATCAATTTCAATGGCACCAAAACCCTAGCCACTATAGAAAACCCCAGCCACAGAATCATCAGAGAAGCCATAGAGATTGAAAAAAGACCTGAAAGCATGAATAGAAGAGATGATTCCACCAGACTGTCAATCATTTGGAAGCCTGCACTCACAAACAAAAAAATCTCCACACCACAAGCCAGGCAAACACCTGGGCACAGACAGATCCCCCTGATACCTCCAGCTCAAACACACCCCAACCAAGCACCCAGATGAAACCTAGCTTCCTAACTAATGATAGCTGTCCATTTACCCAGAGCCAAGCTGCACTAAAGGCCTCCAATAAAGTAACACAATGTTGCCAGCCAATCAAGAGACAAAAAGAGCCAAAAAACAGACAGGAGATATTAGAAACACCAATCAAGCAGAACACAGCGAACTCCAAGACCAATAAACACAGACCAAGACTCCCAACCAATCAGGATGAAGAGAAAACCATTCTGGCACAGCAATAGGCTGCCCCAAATTTAAATCTGAAACCACTATAAAAGCCTGACTCACAGATGAACACTATACAGAAGCCTGATGATGGCAGATGAGATTCTGCTGAAACGTCGCTACGACTTTAAAAGCACAACTACTATGACGTGGGAAAATACCCGAACAAAGCCGAATGCCATATAACATGAAGAAGGACACCAGACCCACACCCATGAGAGCCACACAAGATGCCACCACCACACTTCCATGTAGAAAACAGACTCACACCCACTCAGAAGATGAGACACGACCATGGACCAGAAGCTGCACTGCAGCTGCATCACTACCCACTTCAAACCCCTCCGAGCCATACATGAAGCAAACCGACTATGAAGATGCAGCACGACCACGAACTCGAAGCCAAACAGCAAGATCACAACTCACCAGCTCAAATCCCCCAGCAACTAAGACTAACCTGAGCACAACCAAGCCCCCACCTGAACAGAACACGCCTCCAACCAATCAGAACACGGCCAAGCCCCCACCCAATCAAGTCCCACCCCCACTGGCAGTTAAAAGGAGGAAGCAGCTGCAATCTCACATTACTCTGAGAAGCACAGAGCCGGAGACAGAAGCCTGAAGATGATGAATGAGACTTCATCGAAACGTTGCCTAGATACTTTGAATCTTACGCGGGAGAAAACCCGAACAATCAAAGATCCACATATATATATAGTTGCTAATTTAAACTGATGTTCTTCCAAGGAATTCTGGCCAGCATAAATCATTCTAGCTAGGAATTATGGGATCTGTGGTGAGTTGTTAGATTGTTTTCTTTGCAATCCATCACACTCCAACACTGGAAGTTTTTAAGAAGAGTTTGGATAACCATTTGTCTGAAGTGGTGTAGGGTTTCCTGCCTAAGCAGGGGGTTGGACTAGAAGATCTTCAAGGTCCCTTCCAACTCTGTTATTCTATATTCTATATTCACTCTATAAAGCCTTAGTAAGACAACACCTAGAATACACCACCTACATAGATGGCAAATTGTAAATTGCAAATTGCTCCCAAAATGTGAACTATACATTCAGCTATAAGATGAAATTCTCATCATATTACTATTTTTTTATTATTTGAGAAAATCAACACTGAACTATCAAACCATATGATCACAGCACTATATTGACCATATAAAGTGGCATTCTAGTCTCCTGACAACCTGTAATCAACCTCACAGTCAAGGGCTGGGTGTCTTTGGGCCAGTCATAGTCTCTTAGACCAACTTATTTGATAAGGTTGCTGTATAAAAACAGGAAAAAGGAATATTAGGTATGATTATCAAGGTGAAACTCGAAAAATTAGAATATCGTACAAAAGTTCATTTATTTCAGTAATGCAGCTTAAAAGGTGAAACTAATATATGAGATAGACTCATTACATACAAAGCAAGATAGTTCAAGACATGATTTGTCATAATTGTGATGATGGCTTACAGCTCATGAAAACCGCAAATCCACAATCTCAGAAAATTAGAATATTACATGCAATCAATAAAACAAGGATTGTACATTGAACAATATTGGACCTCTGAAAAGTATAAACATGCATATGTACTCAGTACTTGGTTTGGGCCCCTTTTGCAGCAATTACTGTCTCAATGCAACGTGGCAGGGAAGCTATCAGCCTGTGGCACTGCTGAGGTGTTATGGAAGACCAGGATGCTTCAATAGCGGCCTTCAGCTCTTCTGCATTGTTGGGTCTCATGTCTCTCATCTTTCTCTTGGCAAGGCCCATAGATTCTCTATGGGGTTCAGGTCAGGTGAGTTTGCTGGACAACCAAGCACAGTAATCCCATGGTCACTGAACCAGGTTTTGGTGCTTTTGCCAGTGTGGGCAGGTGCCAAGTCCTGATAGAAAATGAAGTCAGCATCCCCATAAAGCTCATCTGTGGAAGGAAGCATGAAGTGCTCCAAAATCTCCTGGTGGACAGCTGCATTGACCCTGGACTTAATGAAGCACAGTGGAACAACACCAGCAGATGACATGGCTCCCCAAATCAATACAGACTGTGGAAACTTCACACTGGACATCAAGCATCTTGAAGTGAGTCCCTCTCCATTCTTCCTCCAGACTCTGGGTCCTTGGTTTCCAAATGAGATACAAAAGTTGCTCTCATCAGAAAAAAGGACTTTGGACCACTGAGTAACAGACCAGTCCTTTTTTTCTTTAGCCCAGGTAAGATGCTTCTGATGTTTGTTGTTCAGGAGTGGCTTGACAAGAGTGACCAGCAGCTAGTTCATTTGAAGCCCATGTCCAGGATCCATCTGTGTGTGGTGGCTCTTGATGCACTGACTCCAGCCTCAGTCCCCTCCTTTTGTAAGTCCCCAACACTTTTGAATGGCCTTTTCCTGACAATCCTCTCCAGGCTGTGGTCATCCCTGCTGCTTGTGCACCCTTTTCTTCCATACTTTTCTCTTCTACATAACTTTCTATTAATGTGCTTTGATACAGCACTTTGGGAACATCCAACTTCATTTGCAATTACCTTTTGAGGCTTTCCCTCTTTGTGGAGGATGTCAATGATGGTTTCTGCACAACTGTCAGGTCAGCAGTCTTTCCCATGATTGTGATTCCTACTGAACCAGACTGAGAGACCATTAAGGCTCAGGAACCATTTGTGGGTGTTATGGTTTAATTAGCTGATTAGAGTGGGACAGTTTGAGCCTAGAATATCAAACCTTTTCACAATATTCTAATTTTCTGAGATTGCTCAGATAACTGAGAGTTGGTGTGAATGCACAGTACTGTATATGGAAAGCTGTTTACTGTTTAATTGTGGGTTACTATCCTGGTAAAGATGGCACAGGTCACTTCAATAAGTCTATCACTGATAACCCAGTTAGATGGAACAAACTATGTTTCCTGGTCTATGAAGTGCAGTCTACTTCTGCGTAGAGAAGGGTTATGGAATGTAGTTCAAGACCCACCTGATGTAAATGCTTGGGATCCAGCTAATGAGGATGATGCCAAGAAGTTTGCTGACTTTAAACAGAACAATGAACAAAGCTCTTTGTATAACTGGACTAACACTGAGTGACCAGCAGCTAGTTCATATTCGTGGAGAAGAGTCTGCTGCTAAGTGTTGGGAGAATTTGAAGAGGGTTTATGTTCATGACAGTGTAGGTGCACACATACATCTTACATGTAAACTGTTTAGAGCATGTCTTCTGAAAGGTGGAGATATATTAGCTCATTTAAACTTTATGAAAAGAACTTTTTAAGAGCTACATGAAAAAGAACTGATATTTTCAGAGCTGCATCAAGTTTACATCTTTCTTTCCTCATTGGATGAAAGTTATGTTGATTATGTATCTTCACTGGGAGTCCTGCCCAGAGATAAACTGACATTGACTGACATAACTGGAAGGTTGTTAGAAGAAGCAAGAGGACTGCTGGATAGGGACCAACTGAGGAAGGAACAACCCCAAGAAGAGGATTTGTCTTCAACTGCCTATATTGTTAGGAAATGATTCTCTTGTGGGGCTAAGGGACATATAGCTAGATTCTGTAAGAAGGGAAAAAGACAGAATACTAGTAAACACCAGAAGGCCAAGAAGAATGCTAGTTTAGCTATGTCTAGAATTCAACTGTAAACCATGATTTGTGGGTTGTTGATAGTGGAGCATCGCAATG